GCTGAGGCTGGGGAGGAATAGTTCCTGCTGGAAAATGTTTACAAATATACCCTGGTGAGCATTTCTGGTGAAGGGCAACTATGCCATTATATCATTATATTGTCAATATCCCATCAGCAAAGATTGCGGTAAATTACAGTGACCTTTTAAGGAGATCTTCTATGATTAATTTTTGTTTATGTTGCATGGAGTTCCTCCAAATTCACTGCTGCAGACATGAAGGTATGGATTATTTGAATTACTTAGTGGTAATCTAAGTCGGAAGCTGCATGGAGTCCTCACAGAATGCATAGGGAGAGTATTAGTCATTTGTGCTCAAGGACAATCCCTGTTGAAAATTCCACTTTTCCCTGTGTAGATATGTTTGTGTTCTGTAGATGTTGGAAAGGAGTATCTGTATTGGACATTTAATCAACTTTTTAGTACTTTAGCGCATCTGTATGTGATTGAGCTCTGAAATTTGGCTGGAAGAGCAGTGGAGGTTGAGAGACAAAGGATACCTTGGTTGCTTTCCTGCTCTTGTATAGGAATGGTAAAGGTTTTGTGACAGCACCTCACTCAGGCAGAATATGAAGGGCAGCAGGTACACCAGGATTTTCAGCTACAGAGATTATCAAACATAGGCTACAGGCTATTTATCAGCTTGGTTCCTGTTATCTTAGCTAAAACCCTTTTAAAGGGTGACAGTGTTCCCCAACCTTATAATTTTAAGTAGACACAAGAGAGAATTCCAGGTATTTCATTAGAGGGAAAACAGAACAACAACAAAAAACAGTGGATCGGGGATTACGGTGGAAACCATGGCATGGCAAATAAAGAGAGTCCAACTTCAGTCACAGTGAGAACTAGCATGCAGCCTGATGTTAGATTTTATTATTTTTAAACCTGATCCTGAATTTCCTTCAATCACCTCATATCCTTTTTAAGGTCAGCAGCACTGTACCAACACCTATCTATTAGATTTAGACATATTTTGCAAGTCACCTTCACAACAACTTATTTTCATTTCCTGGAAAAACTGGTTGATTACGTAGAGACTGAATTTGCAAGTCTAATCTATGGAGTTTATTAACCCTTGTTATTCTAGTTGCTCGATTGACAGATAAGTTTTCAGGCTTATCTGCAATTTAATTTCCTTTTACAGATTCCTAAAAGTCCACGATTCTGTTCAGGCTTTGTAATGTAGATTCCTTTTAATATAAAAAGAACCTGCATGTTCAGACAAACAGATCCCAGTGCTGTTTGGGAGCACAAGAATTAATTGTCGGTCCTTCTTTGTTGCAGGGAGACACAGAAGTGAAAAGGGCAATTGATACACCTGCTCATACCTCCTTTGCTTTCAGCTCACAGGGGAGCTGGAACAGGTTCTATTTTTTCTTGCCAGCCCAAGATGCATCTTTGAACCTGAACTGGGAGCGCTCTATGTATTTGCTTGTGGTATTTCCAGAGGTGTCGTGGGCCTAGAAAGCCCAGCCACTGCAATAAACACACGTTACTGCTGTGGCAGAGGCTGCTGCACCAGGAGACAACTTGTTGGAATAAGCAGAGCTGTGCATTTTCCATTACACTGTGCTCCCATTTCCTGGGAGCCACGGCCACGTACCTTGGCTGTGCAAAGGTACAGGGGCAACGCAGTGTCCTTGGGGAATGGCTGAGACTGTAGGATCTGCTCTGGAACTTCATCTTGCAGAGGAGTCTCCAGTGTTTAAATCAAATAAAGCTGTGGTTGTACCTATTTCAGGGAATGGTTAGGACTGGTAATAGCAGGAAAAACATCTTGTGAGGAAATACACAGTTGACCTTTGTAATCACTTGCACTTGCAAATGCCTGATTGCTTCCCGCTCTGCTGTGACTCTGCAAACTGTGCTCCATGAGCTAGGGCTTCCAATAAGCCCATCTGGGCAAAAGCCTCTTCTCTGAGGAGAAGAAACTTTTCCTCTGCATCCCTGTAATTGAGAAGTGCCCGAACACATCTTGTTCCTGTTCCCATGTCAGTGTCACCTCTGGGCAAACCCGCAACCACAAAATGCTACGGTTTAGGGTTTCAGAGGGAACAGTGACTTTGTCTGCAGGAAGGAAGAGCCTGAAACACAGTGACTGCAGGCAGGTGGCCATGCCCAAGGGACGGCGAGCAGCTCCAGAAGGCAGCCTGTATTCCAGCGCTGAAGGAATTCCCATTGCAGCAGCACATTGAAACTCCTCTTCCCTGCCAGGGCAGCCAGCTACAGGGCAGCACCAGGGAATGTCACATCCCTGCACCAGGGATGTCACATCACAGACATCCCCTCAGAGGAGCAAGTGCTCACACAGAAGTTTTAGCACAGACCAGCTCCCTTTGTACTCATGCTCTTATTTATTTACCAGCTGTTTTTCAAGGAAGCTCTTATGGGTTTAGCCAAATAATCCCCACCCAGGTTTTCTTAGGCTCCCTTGAGAGATGCTGACTCTGCGGGCAAGAGAGTGGGAGGACAGAAAATAGGACCTTCAGCTGGACCCGCTGTGACCGTCCCCATGCAACCGAAGGGAAGGGGTGGTGTACAGAAACGAAAGGCTGAGCAAGCAGCCACGCAGTTTTTTGGGATGCTAAATAATAAAGCAGCACTCCTGTGAGGTAGGGGAATCCCAGCATAAAGAGGAGTTGCAGTTGGAATGATTTTGAAAAGTTTCAGAAGGGAATTTCAGTACGTTCCCAGGCTTTGTACGAGCTTGGATACTGGGCCAACTAAAAGAGTCTGCATTAGATTAGTACGACTGGATCCCAGACAGGGCACAGCCCTCGCGCCAGGCTTCCAGACCGTGAGGAAATCCTCAGAGCTTTAGCAGACAGATCCAGTCATCGCCCTCCAACAGCGCAGCAAGACTTGGACGAGCCAGGAGCTGCACAGCTCAGCGGAAAAGTAGCCTTGAGTGATTTGGATGCAAAAGAGAGAATCCAGCACCTGTGGCAATGAACAAAGTCAGGCCCTGTTACCAGGTTGGAGCACTGCCACCGGCAGAGACAATCTGCTCTTTCCAATGTGCCATCTCCGTGGGAGCTTTCTGGATCTCAAAGGGGAATACAAAAATAGAGTTATCGTCACAGCGGGCTTGGGAAGCAGGGCTCTCCCTTCTAGCATCCCATACTAACTAGCACTGTCCTAACAGCACTTCCCCATTCCCAGGTTCCTCCCCCCACCCCAATTTTTCATTTAAACAGAAATTAATTCTACTTTTATGAATTGCTGGCCCTATTCTATTCTGTTACTGGTATAAGTGCAGAATTAAGGCCATGCCTTGCAGGAAGCCCTCACCTCTTCATAGCTGCAGCATGAATGTACATCAAGCAGGGCCCTTAACTGGGGTGGGGGGCTCAACTTAGGCTTGGATTTTTGTCCTATGACAAAAGCAAGTGGCTAGAAAGACTCCAGTTGTGAAGTGCTATGCTCTGAGCATGGGTTAGATGGCCTGGCCTTTTGCATGAGGCTGACTGCTGCATGGGATCCAGGATGAGAACAAGTTTTTAAACTGGTTTTACCTCCTGCTGGGGTTCACAGCCATTCTCAGCTGCTGAAATAGTTTGTATGCCTGATTCCCTGCAGGTACCGCATCCGTCCTTCCCTCCAGGGCACCAGAGTGTGTGCATGACGCAGCTATATTCATCCATCACCTCACGTGAGCATTACTTTGAAAATCCTGATGCTTCCAGTGCAAAAAGCACCCCCTACAAGACCAGCACAGATCTCAAGTGGCAGAGGTAGTATTTTATTTTTAGAGCATCCCTCCTCAAGGACACTAAAGAGTTTGTAAAACATCACTGAACAGAAACAAAAGATTGCCAAAACTGCCCCAAAGTAAAACACAGCAGCATTCAAATACCAGAAAACGTGAGAGCTAAAGTGCTTGAGGTCATTTCCCAACTGCGCAGAGTCTGAATCAATCCTCCCCATATTTTTTTCCAATAGCACCTGCCTGGCTCCATAGGTTTCTGCACCAGTCCATGGCAGTATAACACTACTAAGCCAGAGCCATTACCCCCAAAAGCCTAGAAACATCTTACTCTCCTCCCCTCTTACTAAAATAAGTTAATAAATAATATTTGAAGAAACACATTTCAAAGTTCAGACAGCTGAAATTTAACTTCAAAGTAAGTAACCGTATGGATTTTCCATGCAGTGAAGTCGCTAGCGTTGCCTGGAGGTGAGTGAAGCTTTGGTGGGATTTATAAAGTGCTGTCTCTTAGTGTTATGCCCGTTTTTAATAAAGGGTTTTTCAAATGAGCACCTGGACTGTGAGATCAAAACAAAACAGAAAAACACCCTGAAATGACAGACGAACTTTCAGCGGATGCTGGTGCCAGACAGACATTGCATAATGCACGCAGTGATAGATTCATTGGGAAAAGAATACCCCAGAGAAACAAAATTAAAACCAAAACGATCAAGAAAAAGTTACGATTAAACTTTTCATCCTTGAAAACAAATACCCACCAAGCACCAAGAGCAAATCTGAAAGCCCCCTGGTCCCCTGGCTCCACCGCACAAGGAGGGTCTCGATGCCACCGCTCGCCTGGTGCTCTGCACCCTGGGGGCTTCCCACGGACCTCGGCAGCCTTTGGATCGGCTCCCCACATGGACAGCAGGAGCAGGACCCCGTTTTATAGTCACTGCTCTCCTACCCAGCTGCAAAAGCCACCTCCTGAAGTTCCTGAAGGGGGTTTCAACCTTCCCCTCCATGCATGCATTTAACATCCATAACAATAAGAGCAGTTGCACATGCAGATCAGTAGGAGAAAAGTCCCTGACAAGAGGAATTGCTGATCGTAAGAAAAAGAAACCCAGTAGAAACGCTGGGAGTTGCTAAAGACCTGACTCCCTCGAATAAATCTGGTTCCCTGGTTAAGCAGCAGGCATGTGCCCGCCGGCCCATATGCAGGAAGCTCGATAGTGGGTTTGTGTGTGCATGTGTGCGCGGGGCAGCGCGCGCTGAGCAAGCGGCCTCCCGCCCGCCCGCGCCGCTCTCCTCACTTGGGGGCCGAGGCGTTGTAATCGTCTGAGGCCAGTGCACGGTCTATCCTGAACTCTTCCTCCAGCCTGCCGGGCGCCTTCCTCGCATCGGCCCGGGCCGCGGGCTGGTGGCCGCCTGCCTCGAGGCCCAGGATCTGTCTCTGCACCAGCTTGCAGTAAAGGCCGCCCTCTTCCATGAGCTCCTTGTGTGAGCCCTGCTGCACCACGCGGCCCTTGTCCAGCACCACGATGTTGTGGGCCCTCTCCACGGTGCTCAGTCTGTGAGCTATGACCAGCACCGTGTGGTTCTGCAAGTCGCCGTAAATCGCCTGCTGGATCTGCGCGGAGGGAAAGGACGTTAGTGCCTGGCATCGTTGGGAGGACAGCAGTTTGTTTGGTGCCTCGGCTGGGTTTGAGCTGGGGTGACTCGACCCTCCCTCCTGCAGCACCATCCTTTGGGGAGCATCTCTGCATCCTGCCCCATGTGCTGGGTAACACCCTCCACGGTTCAGAGGGGCACAAACTGTACCCGGTCGTGTCAGGCAGGCGCTGGCTGCTGCAAGCGTAGGATTGTGCCCTCCTCCATGGCCACAGCGCAAGGTTGGAAGTGGTTTGTGCTCAGGAATGAGTGTCCTGCACTAACCTTCCATGTACCGCTCGCGCCATGTCAAGAGCAAACCTACAGGCTGGAAACTGAAGCTCCCACCTTTGCTCCAAGCCCACTTTACCTCCTCGGCCCCAACCACAGAGTCGCCTACTCACCGCGTGCTCGCTGTCGGCATCCAGCGCGCTCGTGGCTTCGTCCAGGATGAGGATGGGGGGGTTCCGGATCAGGGCCCTGGCAATGGCCACTCTCTGCTTCTGCCCGCCAGAGAGCTGTGCTCCTTTTTCACCTGCCTCTGTTGGGGCAGGAGAGAGGAAAGGGTCAAAACGGAAGGAAAAGCCTCCGTCACATCCAGCTCCCAGCTAACAGCGCCACAGCGGTGTCACGCTTGGAAGCAAAGACTGGGCTTTTGCTGCATGAGTTAAGGATCCCCACGGCTTTGATCCTGCTCTCTCACAGCAAGCCTACATGGTTATCCCCGGATTTGGGCAGTGATGCTCATGGAGACGATGTCCAGAAGTCCCCAGGCCTGGGCGATCACCCAAGCCCCGCGGCGGGTCCCCGCGGCGGCAGGTACCTGTGTGGTAGCCGTCCTGCAGCTCGGTGATGAAGGAGTGAGCGTTGGCCTTCTGGGCAGCCTGCACCACCGACTCGAAGGAGGCGGATGTCAAGCCGTAGGAGATGTTGTCGGCGATGGAGCGGGCAAACAGCACTGGCTCCTGGCTCACCAGGGAGATCTGCAAAGAGGGAGGGACACGTGAACGCCCCGTGGACGCCCTGCTGACAAACCCTCCTGCACCCGTCAAGAAATTTCAAAGTTGTGGTGGCTGCAAGTCCTCAAAGGCTTAGCAATAACCTCTGCGTCCAGCCATTAGGACCACTGCTGATCACTTGTGAATTTTTACCTTCTTTTTGGGAGCATTTATGTATGACTAAACCCTCTGGTTTATCACTCAGAACGGGAGAGATGGCATGAAACACTCGTATTTTAATCGACTCCTCTCCACGCTCCTAACACCGCACCAGGCTTTCTAAGCTGAAAGACATGTCTGTGTTTTGATTCCCACCGTGTACGGGAAGGGAATGTAAATGAGCTGCCTGGAGTCTGGCTTTCCAGGCCGGGCTCACATTGCTTTTTTCTGGGTTTGCCAACAATTGCCGAGGCCAGTGAGCAAAGAGGGCAGGTACGTGAGCAAGAGAGGAGCCCGAGGGGCCGGGACGCTGCTCCCAGCAAAGCCCTGAGCGCGTTAACCCGGTGCTTTAACCACCCAGTATCTGGGTGCTCCTTTAAAGAAAGTATAAAGTGATGGAGAGATCCAGAAAGCTTTTTTCAAACCCAATTGAGACTGTAATTAATCCAACCGCCAACACTGGACAACCACCACCCATCCCGCCACACGGCCCCGCTCTGAGTAAGCTGCTGCTGGATGGACGACTCAGCTGGCAGCTCATACCACGGAGTGCAGGTACTTGTGGTCGTAGGTGGCAATGGGGTGGCCGTCCAGCAGCACCTGCCCGTCCTGCAGCGGGTAGAAGTTCTCCAGGATGTTGACGCAGGAGCTCTTCCCGCTCCCCGAAGGGCCCACCAGCGCCGTCACTTGGCCAGGGCGCAGGGTGAAGGACACGTTCTGTGAGAGGGTACACGGCAGCGCGCTCAGGAGCCGGCCTTCCCCAGCGGCTGCCGTGGGGACACGCGGCTTGGGCACTCCCCAAGAGAAGCCGGCTGCGCTCACCTGGAGCACCTGGGTTGAGGAGCGAGTGCGGTAGGAGAAGGTGACGTTTCTGAACTCCACCTGCCCGTCCACATGGTCAGGGGCCAGGGAGCCATCGTTGACCATTGTTGGCTGGCGATCGATGAACTCAAACACCTTCTCAGCAGCTCCCACCCCCTGCATCAGCCCGCTGTAGACGGAGCCGACGGACTGCAAGGGAAGAGGCAACGGTGACGGGAATAGTTGTTGGAGTCATTCACAAGGAGAATGGTCAAAACGCTCCCAAGTCCAGCATCAGACATTAACTATAGGGATGGGGCACTGCCAAAAGCTCTTCCCCCTTGTCAGGTTGCACAGGGACACGTGGATGGGCAGAGGTGGATGGAGTGTGGAGCGTGCTGTGTGGGGAAAGGGCACTTGGAGGGGTTGTGCACATGGGTGTGCACAGGGAGGAATGGAGAGAAGGAACACCTGGGTTGGGAAAAACAGAATGACACACATGACCGAAACTCAACTGGAAACTGCTACTCTTATCTCTCTGCTCAAGGCCAGCAGCTCCCAGATCACCCAATGGTTGGTCCAAGACCATAAAGGGCTGCGTCCCGGCCTCTGAGACCTGCCAGCTCACTCCCTAGCACATGTATTGCTGCTGCAGGGCAGGAGCTTGTCTAAAAGGTCCAACCTGAAGACCCGAGGCAGCTGGCAGGGCTGCTCCCTGCGGGGTATCAGCCCTGAGGCATCACCCTCAGCCATCTCAGTTTCAGCTGGTGTGACCAGCCCCAGCCCTGCTGGACTAAACCCCTATCACATACTGACTCTTCTCAGTATTAAGCTCAAAGCTGTAAAACAGCTCGTATTGTAACTGAGGGGGAAAACAAACAAACAAACAAACAGAAAACATGGAACAGAACAAAAACAGGCACCAAAACCACAGCCTGGAAATGCCACCAGAGCCACTGGAACAGATGGCGAGTGCCAGGTGGGCTCTGCCATGAAGCCTGGAGGGCCCCAAAACACTCAGGTGCAAGAAAACCTGCACTTGATCAGTTCTGCCTCAATTAGTCCAGCTGACACCTTTGCAAGGCGAGACTGACCCTGGTGGGCTCTAGCATCTCACTCACAGCCCTATCAGTGCACTGCCAGCTTAGGAGCTGGTGGCTAATTGCTGGGAAAAGGGAATACAATTAAGCTTTTAATGAACCCTAAAATGTAATGGTCAGCCTAGCAGTTTCTGAATCTTTCTGAGGCATAAGAAACATGTCTCAGCTCCAGGATTCCTCCATCAGTCCCCAATTGCCCTTTTGGGGATGGACTGCAGGGGCCAGCACGATCCACAGCACAAAACAGCACAGCAATACAGAGTGGCCCAGAGGCCTCAGCCAGACTCACCTCCATGCAGTCTCCTAAGACAAACTCATAAATGATGAAGGATATCAGGTTTCCACTCGTCATTTGCCCTGAGATCACCAGGTGTCCCCCGTAGTAGAGGATGCTCACTTGGACCACCAGGAGCGTCAGCTGGAAGCAAGCAAAGACCCAACACGTCAGCAAGGACAAGTGAAGACACTCCCATGCCAGCCCTAGCAGCGAGCTCTCATATTAGTGGGGCCAATTTAAGGAGTCAGACTAGGATCTTTCAACCTAAAGTCTACTGGAGCAAGAGTTAGGGAGGAGAATTAATTTGAAATAAAATCTCAGAGAGTTTTTTCTTGTACTAACAACTTCAAGTGTAATAATCCATACTGAGATTCAAGCAGTACCCTCCTTGCTAAAATAAACATTGCATTGTATAAACATAGCACATTTTCATCTGGAAAACAGAAACAAGCCACGAGTTAATGCAGAGAGTCCTCCTTGTGCACACAAGGTCCTGAGACACCTCAACTGGTGGGATCAGCGTGTGCGTGGGGCATTTCCACCTACACAGTGAGGAGAGGGATAAGCCCTTATATAAGGGAGAACAGTCTGTGCCGTTCCCTGCTCCTGGCACACTCAGGAATGTGGTGATACCTCGGTGCTGTGTCCGACATTCACCTCGCGGGCTGCAAATTCACATGGACAGAAATACTGGGGGAAGGTTCCTCCACTTTTTCCCCTGCCACGCTCTGACCTCCAGGCCCTGCCTTTCCTCCGAGGAAGACTTTGCTAGGGCGGTGCTCAATCTGGTAGCATCTCCTTACATGAACCCCACGGGAGCTGTTTCTGATGGGTTTTGACTGCTTGAAATCAGCTGGATCTGCTCTGACCCAGTTCCTGCTGCTGCCTTCACTGGAAGCTCAGGAACAGTGTTAGAAATGCTCTAATTTTGCCTCCAAGCCTGACCAGCCCCAACCCTCCCACAGTCGTGCGAAGCTGTCCCAAGTCCCAAGCCTTCCAGCCGAAGCTGTTTATGGCCTGAGGCACAGGAGGAAGAGGGGAGCCTCGCACAAAGGCTTTGCACAGCCGCAGTGCTGCGGGAGAAGTCCCAGAGCGCCGACAAAAACGCAGTGTGCGGAGAAGCCCAGCAGCCTCCACCACCCTGGGCAGGCGGCTCTGCAGCCACTTCCCATCTGGAGGCCCCGAGGAGGAGGTGGAAAAACGCGCAGTGCAGCAGTGCGGCGCACGGGGGTTCCCGTGACCTTGGGAGCTTCTCAGCTACCCTCTTGCTCACCTAGACGGACAGCTTGGTGGCACCGTGCAGCAGTGCCTAGAGGGGAGCAGAGCCTCTCATGAGCGAAAAGCCAAGGAAAGACAGGAGAAAGCAGCCGCCCTGGGACCGAGAGAGCCGTCCGCGTGCGGCACAGACCACCTACCCCACTGGACCACACGTAGTAGGTGTAGGCCAGGGCCTCCTTCTTGTTGAGCTTGTAGACTTGCTGCAGCTTCTGCCAGTACACGTTGGCCTCGGCCTCCTCGTTGGCGAAGCTGCGCACAGTTTTCATGGCCGAGATGGTCTCCTCGGCCGTGTTGTTGGCCTTGGCCAGGGCGCTCTGCACCTCCTTGGAAAGCTTCTGCGGGGAGCCAAGGGGAGGGAAAGGGGCTCAGACAAGGCTGGGGCAGAGTCAGGGTGAAGGCAAGGACGGAGCAGAGGCCACACTTGTCCATGCAAGGAGGCACAAGGCATCTCTGTGGTCCTGCTGGCTGTTCTCACCTACCTGGTAGTACTTGCCATAGACCTCGGACACCAGCATGATAATGGGGAAGCCCATGAAGGTGACGAGCGAGAGCTTCCAGGAGAGGCTGAACATGAAGAAGATCACGCCCGTGGCCTTCACCACGTTGCGCAGGAAGATGTTGATGTTCTGGGACACCAGGTCGCTCACGATGGTGGTGTCCGACGTCAGGCGGGAGATGACGTCCCCTGCAGGAAGGAGGGGGTCAGGGAAGTGCATGGACCCATCACCATGGCAGGGCCTGGCTGAGTCACGTTCCCACCCATCCAGCTCCCTCAGCACCTGCTGCGGGTGCGAAGCAAAAACCCAAAGCGCTGCATGCACGAGGGACAGGAACCACAGCGATGGCCCTGCTCCGGGTCCCTGCGAGAGCCTGGGGCTGCTGCAGCAATGGGCAACTTCCTATGCTGGCCCCACACGAGCCCAGCAGAGCAAAAATAACATCCCTGGTGTCCTTGGCTACCAGGCCACTAGCGATTGCTAAATGCGGCAACAGCCTCCAGACTAAAAATACTGCTGGGAAGGAATGAAACAAAGGAAGAGCCGCATCGGGCTGGATGGGATCTGCAAGTGCCCATGGCAGCCGTGTGGAGGTGGTGGGTGTGAGGCTTTCCAGAAGCCAAGGGAGATGCTAGAAGGGGAAATGTTGGGATACACAGCCCTGAACATCTTGGCCTGGATGGCTGGGAATCAGGTCGCTCACTGGTGGTGTCCCCAGGGCAATGGGAGACCTGTGCCTCACAGAGCCGTGGCCACTCTAGCAGGCACTGATATTCTGTGCAAATTCAGTTCTCCCCCAAAATGCTTTATCTATAGGGAAGCTCTTTTGCTGTGTCCTTCTGCATGCTTGCACTTAAAAACCCCTAAGAGTGCTTTTAAACCAGCTTCCCACTGTCAACTCTAGCTGGCCCCAATCTGCTGCTTGCTGGGTGGGTAAAAACCAAGGAGAAAAAAAGCACCATGTGTCCAGGACAAGTCAGCAGCTCAGAGGAGCCTTGGGATAAGCGTCTGGCAGGAGGTGGGCAAAGAGGGCATGTGGGCATCACCGCCACCCGTGGCGGGGAGGCACCGACCTGTGCGGTTCTCATCGAAGAAGCTCATCTCCTGGGCCACCAATGATCTGAAGAGGCAGTTGCGAAGGCGGAGGTTCAGCCTGGCAAATATGAGCGTAAAAACGCCGCCCCGGATACCTGCGGCAAACGAGCTAATTGCAGATAAGAAACGTTATAGAGCAATGGCCACGAAACCCGCGCCTCCGCGACGCAACGCTGCCCCGGCACCGGCGCCACAGCAGCGCGGTGACACAGGGGGAACCCTCCCAAACCCCTTCGGCTGTCGCCAGCCCCTTGCACAGTGCCGGCTTGAAGCCCTGGAAGAC